AGTGAGCCCAAGCCCTCCTAAATAAAGGCAAATATTTCTGCCATGCCAAGAAAGGAGAGAGAAAGGGAGGCTTGCCAGAGCTGGTGGGGAGATAACAGTGGGAACTGCTGGTCCATCTGGTTTTCATTCTGCTAACACTCACATTGAACTGTTAAGGAAGGCAGTCCAGGTACACAGATTTGAAGCATGTGGGAGCGCAGACACAGGCACAGAGGAGATGGAGGTGGGTGGAAGAAGGAGTGAGAGAAATCGAACTCCTCTAACAGTCTGCTGCTCGCAGCGAGCAGGCACAGCCTGTATCCTCCAATTCAGCTGTTGATAACTAAAAGCGATCCCGAGCCTGTAACCAACTGCACGGCTCCTGCTCCCCTCCTTTGCTGCATTTCAAAGTTCAGGTTTGATCAGAAACACGCTCAGATTGGAGGGGGGAGGCTTTCCCAAAAAGCTGGCAATGTTTTGTTACTTAAATTGAACACGGTAGTGGGAAATAGTGTGTTGGTTTTGCCCTCCAATTTCAGATTGCCATTCTACTGCGATCCAACTGGTTTTTACTCCCTCGAACAGTGTCTGCCACCCAGTTTGCAGATCGCTGAAATTATCCACAGATCCCTGTACTTCTCCTATAAATCTAATGACATTAGGCTTGATTTTCCTAATTACCTTTCTTTGGACCTCTGAGAGGTGAAAAAACCCACCCTCTACAGGCCACTTACCTTTGCTTAACCTCTCTTTCCCCCTTGCAAAGCCCTAACCCCCGCTCTGCTACTGTATGACTGCAGGGAGACAGATTTATCTCTGGTTGTCCATAAGTTCCCTAGCCCGCCCTTCTGTAAGGAAATATAAGGGTCCTTTCAAGCACACCTCAAAACACTTCTAACCAGGGTACAAGATTATCTTGTCAGAGCAGACACTCTTCGGGGGGGGTGGAAGGGCTTTTGAAGAAGCACAATGCAAAATGCAAAGTTCTTCCACGTGCTTGGAAGACACCACGACCGCCCAGGACAACAGCCTCTACATCCCACTTTTCCACCCTCTTTAATAGCAAAACTCCTGCAGGAGCCATTCTGCTCTCACTGCTACTATTAACCTGTTCCTTGCCGCTACAGCTGGTTCCCGAACCTCCGAGGGAGCTATGGGGCTGGGAGCACCCGCCTACAGCGGCTCTGCACCCACCGCTCTCCCACCACCCACCACCCCAGGGAACCTCAGCAGCTCTGTCTTTAAGACATAGATCTCTCAGGGGATGGAGTGGTGATGGAGCACAAAGCAGAGCCGCTGCTGATAAAAGTGTCACCAGTTCTTGTGATCTGAACTCCTAAAGCTTGTAGTGTCTGATACTTCGCCTAGAACTCCAGCTTCTACAAATCATTATTTTTTTTTTTTTTTTTAGTTTAAAAAAAAAAAAAAAGGCAAACCTGACAACCAACACTTTTTACTCTAATTGTTGAAAAATAGCCTCATGATATGAAAGCTAAAGGCAAATTGGTATTTAAATCATATTCACGAGCCAAGTTTCCCCTAAACGATATTATTCCATGAGGACTTTTATGTATAGACATTTTTCATACAAACTCTCTGTGGATATTCTGCTATCCGTACATTCAGAGGTGATGAGGGTTTGGGAGGGGAAGAAAGAATCCCTCAAAAGGAAAAATGGTATTTTTTACATGTGAAAACCTGCCTGTGTAAGATTTCGTGTACATTTGCTCCAGTTTTATAATACAGGAGCATATACATTGAAATTTGCCTGAAATTTGGAAGAAGTTTAAGGAAAACCATGTCTTAAAATTGCTTAATTTCTTAAATTCAAAAACATTTTTATGCTTTTGTGTCAAACCAAACTCCTCATTTGCAAAGCTAGTTCTGATTTTTCTTTCTGTTGGGCTCTGACATGTCAAACAATAATCCTGAATTAGCAGGGACACACCAGAAAGTTTCATACAGGCAGTATCCCACAGCATCACACATTTCAGAGCGCAGGCTGTGTATACAGTGAGAGTAACTTCTTTCAGGTGCAAAGATTTCTTCCACCAAATCCCTCTAAGCAGTGACAGACTTGCGCTCCTTAGCCCAGTTCGGATCAAATGGGACTGAAACCAGAGGTCCTCCAAACCGGAGGGAAAAGGGGACATCTGTAATTCATTCTGTAGTGTTCACTGCAATCAATTCAGGATGGAGATAGATGGTGAAATAATGGTCTAGTCCTAATCCATACACACAACCCTCTGGTGCAGTGAGAGACTTAGAATAAATTCAGAAAATATGTTTCAAGTATGCAGAGATCTATTGCATTTGCTTTGGATTATATTTTTTATTTTTAAAAAAACCCAAACATTTTGAAATATACATTCTTGAATCTCTTTTACAGCACAGAGTGAAGAACTGTGATTTTACCACAGAGGTATTTTGCTCCGTTTTAAATTAAAGAATGTTGTAAAACCAACTTTAAATTATGATATTTCTTCTGTGGATTTCTTGGTTCGTGAAACTATACTGTTCTTGTCATTCATTCAGTTTTTATGGTAGGAGTTCTTTTTATCACTATATTTAGCTGTTAGGTGAACACTGATATTTACCGTAAGCACAGCCAGCTTCTGAAGACAAACAGGGTACAGACAAAGTAAAACATGCAGGAGCAGGGGCAGAGAGAGATGTGCATGTATTCAAACCCATTTACTTCCTGTAGTCTAAAAGATTTAGGCCATGTTTAAAACAAGGCGGTCTTTCATATATGGCAACATTTTAGCTCACGTGGCACCCTTCCAAGTCTAACGCATCAAGAAAAGTTGATGTATGGAACAAAATATGGAATATATAAATACTTTACTGATACCATTTCAATAGCCAATTCAATGTCAAGCATTTCTAGGAGTGGTGTGTTTTCAATTTCCTTTTTTAAATGAAAAAAAGTATGGTATAATACGCTGTGGCAT